CTTAAGAAAGTCAGCCAAGCTAAGGAAAGATGAGACGACCCCACTTCTCCCAAGGGCGAACCCAAGGGTATCGGCGGGCCGCCTGCCTAACTCGCGCCAAGACTCAAAACTTAAAACAATAAAAGCCAGAAAATTCAAAAGAGTTCTAGATACAATCCCAAAAGAGTTATAATTACATTCTCCAAAAGTACCTGCTCACACTATTACATCCTTATAATTACCACCAAAACCAAAATGTAGACCCTAAGGAGGGTTCTTATACAAACCACCAAAACTAAAACAAAACAAACATACTATAAGTCCAACTATTACAATCAAACCTAACTATGCTAGTGTGTGTGCCAAAAGTCCCCGCGTCGGCCCCTGCTAAGGAAAACAAAAGGAATGGGGTAAGCTATATGCTTAGTAAGTAAACAGGGGCAAAAGCGTAAATTTCACGTAACAACAGTGACATAGTAAGAGTAAAGCAAAAGCAGAAAAGTAACATCACATAATAAGGATACAGGTGGCTCCAAAGCCAATTCATATGCCATGCGTGATCTCCTGCCGACACTCCGTCGACCACACTTAATGGTCCGTAGAACTTCACTTGTACACCCACCGACACCTTATCACCCTCACTGGCCAGTCACCTCACAAACTTGTCCGGGCGAACGAAATCACAAACTTGAGCTTGAGTCACAAGCTCGGGTCACAAACTTGGTCCACATACTCGGTGAACCGGATTCACAAACTTGGTGACCTCCAACCAGGTTGGACTGACTTCGACCAAGCCCAAACCGGCTCGAATAGTCCATCTTGGTCAAGAGCTCGCCCCAAACTCACAAACTTCACAAAATTATTCAAAATCACCCCGAGCCACAAGCTCAAGGGTTTTAGTTCCAAAATGATTCACATACATATGTCATGTACAAATATGTGCGTAAATTCGGGTTTAGAGCGAGTGCGATAAAGTACACCCTCGCCTAAGTACCCTCTTCATACATGTCGAAACACATAAGCAACTAACACATAAAAGCGGCCTGAATACTTACTCAACGAACAAGGATAACAAAAGGACAAAATTCACGTCGCGAAAAGTAGCTAGTAGGCCCCACCGGCTCCACCTAGCTCACCACCGTCTGAAATAGAAGATTGTCTCACAATATATCACAAACGGCTACTAACATATTTAAAACAAGCAAAACGGCAAAAGCCGACACACTCAAGTACGGAAACGGCAAAATTGGCACATGCAAGTGCGCGGAACGGCAAAAGGAAACGGCCAAATCTGCCATCTCAAACCGTTTTGATCAAAGATTAGGCTAGGAAAGTCGGATCAAAGTGAACGAGATACTGTTTTGAAGCTATGAGAAAGGGCTACAAATCTCCTGAAGAAACTTTAATCTAGATCTGAATGGAAGCAGGTCAAAATTATAGAAAACAATACCAGAAATTTACGTCTTAGGGTGACGAACAGGGTTGTTTGCTGGACCATAACTCCCAGCTCACAAATCCAAATCAGGAAATTCCAAAGGCATTAGAAAGCTGAGACCTAAGACTAAAACTTTGATATTTTGGCCAAGACCTGAATCCACTCAGAACAGAACAAAAATTGAGTGTCAAAATACCCGTCAGAACTGTCCAGATACAAGGCAGTTCTGACGATCGATCTTGTTTGGGTCATAACGGAAGCTACGGAACTTGGATTTCGACGCACTTTATACCGTTTAGAAACCAAAACCAAGATCTACATTTCTTATGAAGGATTTACCACCCAGATCATACGGTATCAAAACCAAAAAGTCACGGGCAGAAGCTAAACTAAAAACGCACAGAACCTGATGTTCAAAACAGGCTTGAGTATTTCATCTATAACTCATGATACCCTAATCCGTTTGACCTGAAATTTTACAGGCATATTCAGGACGTAAGGGTATACAATGTTGAAGAAGGTCACTCAGTCCAATTTCGAGTGTAACTACGTCAAAAATGTCACATACTACACCAGAATCGCAAAACAGGTTCACAAACTGTATTCTAGTACAAACATCATAAAACAGCCTACATAAGTCCAAATCCCGAAATTCCAAAGCCATATGAAAGCTTAGAAACAGGGATACATTTCCTTAGAAGACCAAAACAACCAATTCGGAAGCATTCCAAACCACAATAACCAATTACAATCGCAGTTCTCAGGTTCGGGTAGAAACAGGACAGCAAGGGTAAATCCGTCTTTTCTCATTCTACGCTACTCCGATTGACCTGAAATTTTGTAGGCACCTCTAAAATGTCATTACCTAAAACTTTCATGTTTTAAGCCAAGACCAATTCGGCCTATAACTAGGAGATACAAAACCGGACAGAAAGGGGAACAAATTTTCCAGATTCTGGAATTTTTGGTCTTCAATGAAACTTTCTCAAATTTCTTGTTCCAATCACCACCAAAGCCCCTTATATAACCTTATATACAACATATACTAACTATACAACAAGTTTAGGCAGAAAATTATTAAACCCTAACTTACATATCTCATCCAATAATCATCACAACTACTTGCACATCTTGAAATCAAGCCAAAACTTAAGCTAAATAACATCTTAAAGCAAGATTCAAAGCAACAAAGATCATGATCAAATGTTGGTACCTCAAAAGCAAGGCTTGGTAGAGTGATCCTTCACCCCCTTTGATATTTCTTGGTTCCTCAAGCTTCCCAACTCACAATTAGCACTTTAACCGGTTTGGAAATTTGATTTGTCACTTGGATTGCTAAGATTCAAGAAGAAGAAAGTTGTTCTTGATCTCTCTTTCCTCTCTCTCTTTGGTCAGCTATGGAGCAGAAATGATGAAGGGAAAGTGCAGAAAATTGGTTTAAGAAGGTTAGTTACTCACTTGGCCAAGAAACTCTAGGATGGCGACAAGTGTCGCCACCTCCACCTTTCATTTTTCTCTTTCTTTCCTTGCTATTTCTAGCCTATAATTTCGGTCAAACAAGATGACAATTAAGAGGATATTTTGCTCAAATATCAATAAACTTGTATGGTAAGAAAGTGGTGGACAATTGGTGCGTTCAATCGGTAGTGCGCGGGACCCGCCGGTTCGCGCCGTTTTTCTTAAAAACACACGTACTAGGGTTTTTACTTCCCGTTCACTAACTTTATATCATTGCTCCTAATCACATATTATTGTCCACTTTATATCATTGCTCCATTCACTAATTTTATGAATATAATTCGAATACGATTCGAAGCTCGAGCCATTTGTGTGTGTGTGGATACTGGCCAGAGTGGGCGTAAGGTGGTCGGAGGAAGAAAGCGGAGTTCTACGGACCATTCCTTGTGGTCGACGGAGGGTCGACAGGTGATCACGCGTGACGAATGACTTGGCTTTGGAACCAATCCGTATCCTTGAATTGTTTTGTTACTTTTGCTTTGATTTTGATGTATTTGTGGCATAAATATCTGACTTGATGCAAAATTTACCATTTTGCCCCTGCTTGCTTGCTAAGGTTTAAGCTTACTTGTTTTTCTTTGTTATTTCCTTAACAGGGGTCGTACGCGGGGAATCACACTTCACGAGAGTTATAACCCTAGAATTTACCTTTGAAATTATACTAGTTGGACTTTCTAGGATGTTTTTCTTTATTCTCACAGTTAGGGTTAGGACTCTGCGTAAGATCCACTTTGTGGTTTTAGTCTTCGCTTTTGTGTGATGTAGTGGACTGGAATGTCCCTTTTGAAGATGTACATATTGTAAATGGTACTTTTGGAGATGTATAAATGTAATTAGTATCTTTTGGTATTGTGATTCTTTTATTGGACAAATTTATGTTTTACACTGATTGAAGATGTACTTAAGAATGAATGTTTAGTGGTCCAATAGTAATGTTATCTCTAAAATTAATGTGAGTGAGTGAGTCCTGGCGCGAGCTAGGCAGGCGGTCCGCCAAACCCTTTAGTACGCCTCTGGGTGCGGTGGGGTCGTTACAGGTGGTATCAGAGCGCCTAGGTTAAAAGACTTGGGTAATCGAGGCATATGCGATAGACACTAGGCAGATTTGATTCGGTTAAGATGAATGCTAAATTTTAAGTTGAAATGCCGGCAAACTGACGAATTAATGTTTTGTAGGTATGGATCCAGACAGTTCGAGTGGTGCGGGATCCAGTGGTATGGGACCCAGTGGTATGGGACCAGGACCGGTGCCGAGACCTCCGAGTGTGGGGGGCCCGGTGAACCAGGTAACACGTAGACGGGTGATCCGGTACCAGAGGAGGCCGGGGGAGCCTTACACTATATATTCACCCTTTAGTAGAATGCCGCACCGACCTTGTGAGTGTCGTTTCACCTATGGCTACCCAGATGAGGTCGTCCTGGCAGTGGACGACGAGAGACGTCGCCTGGGGAAGGCAGTTGATCGCCTGACCAGGCAGCTTGAGGAGGCTAGGGGAGTGACCCACGGCCAGGCCATACACCTTAGAGAATTGGAGCAGAGTCTTAGAGATGAGGAGGAAAGGACAGATTCCTTCCGTCGTCAGTTACACGACATGCACCTGCACCTCCTCGCTATGAAGAGGCAGCTACGGGAATGGGTCCGGGGTGTGATAGTCGATTGTGAGATTGTGTTAGATGTGGTCGCGGAGGCGCCACCCAGGGCCACTGGCCCAGAGCCAATGGAGGATGCTGATACATTGGGCTCGGTCGGGGACTGGGCCCCTAGGGGAGGCGCTTAGGGCCGCTTCTGTGACTCTTGTTCTGCTTATCCATCTTTTGTATCCGGATTTGATCCGCTAGTTTTTGGGAGCTGAAGTGCTCTTGTATATAATGGGTTTTGTCCCGACCAGAGGTCGGGTAACTTGTATAGTTTTGGGCGTGCATTTGTATATGTGTGTACATATTGTTTTGGCTGGTATATATAAGCGTTTGCTTTCCGTTTTACGAAATATTTTGTGTTTCATGTTTTTGTAATTCATTCTATTTTTTTTCTTTTTTTTTCTTTCCTTTTTAGCTTTTAGAACTTAAAATGGACTCCGGTGGCCGGGGTAGAGGTAGGGGGCGAGGACGAAACCCCGAGGGAGAAAATGAGCTCGAGAATGACCAAGTAGCCACAGCCATCCAGCGAATGGCTGATTTACTTGAGCGTATGGTCGCCCAACAGGGCCAGGGTCAGGGGAACAACTCCGGAAATCCTGGGAGTAGTCGAGGGAATCATGAGGGGGAGGACCGCGCTTTAGAGCGGTTTCAAATATTTGCACCCCCTAAATTTATAGGAGGACCCAGCCCTGACCTGGGGGAGGGCTGGCTGGAGCGTATACTGGATATTTTCGCCGCCTTGGGATATGCGGAGGAACGACAAGTATCGTTCGCTACCTTTCAATTCGAAGGACCCGCCCGAGCATGGTGGAACGTGGTAAAAGCAAAATGGGAACGAGAGCGGACCCCCTGGACCTGGATTAACTTTACCAGGGAATTTAATGAGAAATACCTTCCGCCGATGGTACAGGAGAAACGGGAGGATGATTTCATTCGCCTGCGCCAAGGGGCGCTAAGTGTTGCAGAATACGAGACCCAATTCACTAAATTGTCTCGTTTTGCTCCGGATTTGGTGTCAACGGAACAAAAGCGAATCCTCCGCTTTGTTCAAGGGTTGAACGTTGAGATCCAAGAGGCGTTGGCGGCCGCTCAGTTAGATACTTTTAATCGGGTGTTAGAAAAAGCGCATAGGGTTGAGACAGCCCGAGGTCAAGTAAAGGCATTTCATGATAAAAAGAGAAGGCAGCCGGGCACCGGAAACTTTAATGCTAGACAAAGCTCGAGGAATGAGCCGCCCACTAAAATGGGTAGGGGAGCAGGAGGTCCACGACCGGCGGGGACTTCAAACCAGGGAAATGCCGGAAGAGGGCAAGCAGAGCGAGGGCCCCAGAGAGGTGGTCAAAGAGGAGGAACAACTACCGGGACGAGACAGACCTGTAGTTTTTGTGGAGGCAATCATACCGCCGAAAATTGCTGGAAGAATAGTGCTGTCAGGAGGTGCTATAAGTGTGGTAGTACCGAACACCTGATTGCTCAATGCCCGAATCTGCGGGCTGAAGGAGGCACCTCACGGGCAGAGGGAAGCGCGCCCAACCCAGCAAATGTAGCGGGCAATCGACCGAAGGTACCTGCGAGGGTCTATGCCATGGGACATCAGGAGGTGACTGACCCTTCGGCAGTCATCGAAGGTACGCTTTCTATATTTCGGCGTACCGCAAGTGTGTTAATAGATCCTGGTGCTACCCACTCCTTTGTGAGTCCTGCATTCATGGCACATATAGACATTAAGGCAGAGAAGTTGCCATATGATTTAGAAATAAAGACTCCCATTACCAATAAGAGTATCCTTGCTAATAAAATGTACAAAGGTTGTGACGGGTGGATAGGGGAACGAAAGTTGTCGGTGGATTTAATAGAATTAACTCTTAAGGGATATGATCTCATATTAGATATGGATTGGCTAGCTAAATATTATGCATGTTTGGACTGCAGTACGAAAAAGGTTGACTTGTGCATACCGGGTGAGCCTACATTGCAATTAGATGTACAAGGAAAGTTAGCCTCTACCACTTTTATTTCTGGGATTCGGGCCAGGAAATTGCTGAGTAAGGGGGCTCGAGGGTTTTTGGCCATGTTGATTAATACCCCAGGAGAGCAATTAAAAGTAGAAAGTGTGCCGGTGGTGTGTGAGTTTCCTGAGATGTTTCCCGAAGAGTTGACCTCACTACTGCCGGAAAGAGAAATCGAATTAAAGATTGATCTCCACCCAGGGGCGGAACCGATATCGAAAACCCCTTACCGCATGGCTCCTGCAGAACTGAAGGAATTAAAAATCCAGTTGTAGGAATTATTGGACCGAGGATTTATTCGGGAAAGTGAATCTCCTTGGGGAGCCCCGATACTATTTGTAAAGAAAAAGGATGGAGGTTTACGGATGTGCATCGATTACCGGGGACTAAATAATCTTACGATTAAGAATAAATATCCCCTGCCACTGATTGATGAATTATTTGACCAACTGCAGGGTGTAGTTGTATTTTCTAAACTGGACCTACGACAGGGATATTACCAATTAAAAATCCAGAAGAAGGATATCCCTAAAACCGCGTTCAATTCGCTGTACGGGCATTTTGAATTTGCAGTCATGCCCTTTGGATTGACGAATGCTCCAGCTGCGTTTATGGATTTAATGCACCGAGTCTTCAAACCTTACCTAGACCAATTTGTTGTGGTGTTTATTGATGATATTATGGTCTACTCGAAGACTCGTGAGGATCATGAACGACATTTGAGGTTAGTGCTACAGACTCTTAAGGAACACCAACTATATGCTAAATTTAGTAAGTGCGAGTTCTGGTTGGACAAGGTGTCTTTTCTTGGACACGTGATTTCAAAGGATGGAATAGCGGTGGACCCCGCTAAAGTGAAAGCCGTCACTGAATGGAACCGACCTAAGAACCCAACTGAAGTTAGAAGTTTCTTAGGGCTTGCCGGATACTATCGCCGCTTCATAAAAGATTTTTCTAAGATAGCTGGACCTCTGACGGACTTGACTAAGATTCACAACCAATTCATCTGGACTTCCAAGTGCGAGGCCAGTTTTCAAGAGTTAAAAGGGCGATTAACTTCTGCACCAATTCTTACTTTGCCCAACGGAAAAGACAGTTTTGTAGTATATACAGATGCGTCTCGAATGGGTTTGGGATGTGTGCTTATGCAAAATAGACAAGTGATAGCCTATGCATCTCGGAAATTGAAACCCCATGAGCAAAACTACCCAACTCACGACTTGGAATTGGCGGCAGTGGTATTTGCTCTTCAGAAGTGGCGACATTATTTATATGGGGTAACTTTTGAGGTTTTCACCGACCATAAGAGTTTCAAGTATTTATTTTCGCAGAAAGAGCTGAATTTGAGGCAGCGTAGGTGGATGGAGTTTTTAGAGGACTATGACTGCACCATTAAATACCATCCCGGTAAAACTAATGTGGTAGCCGATACCCTTAGCCGGAAAGCCCAGGTTTCGAGTCTACAGGTAAAAGAGTGGGAGCTACTAGAAGAAGTTGGGGAATGTAATCCTCAACTCAAGTCACACAAAATGCTGTTTAGCAATATTACGGTGACTTCCACGTTATTGCCTAGGATAAAGGAGGCTCAGAAGGAGGACTCCCAGGTACAGAAGTGGAAGGAAAAAGTCAAGAAAGGGATGGTACCCGATTTTAATGTGGATTCGGATGAGATGTTAAGGTATAGAAATCGATTGGTTATACCACAGGATACGGATATCAAGAAAGAGCTGTTGGAAGAAGCTCACCGCTCGCGGTACACAGTACATCCTGGTACAACGAAAATGTACCACAAATTGAAGAGTTTGTACTGGTGGGATGGCATGAAAAAGAAATCGCTCAGTTTGTGCAAACATGTCTAACCTGTCAGCAAATAAAAGCTGAGCACCAAAAACCATCAGGTTTGCTCCAACCGTTAGAAGTGCCGGAGTGGAAATGGGAGCACATTACTATGGATTTCGTTTCCGGTTTACCGCGAGCACAAAAGGGGCATGATGCCATTTGGGTAATTGTAGACCGCTTGACCAAATCAGCTCATTTCTTACCCGTGAGCATGAAGTATACCCTAGAGAAACTATCTCAACTGTATAGGGATGAAATTATACGACTACATGGCGTGCCAGTGAGCATAGTTTCGGATCGAGACCCACGGTTTGTGTCACGGTTCTGGCAAAGGATGCAAGAGGTTTTAGGCTCTAAACTTAATCTAAGTACAACTTACCATCCTCAGACAGATGGACAATCGGAGCGAATGATACAAACTCTTGAGGATATGCTCCGAGCGTGTGTAATGGACTTTGGAGGAAATTGGAGCCAACACCTCACATTGATAGAATTCGCATACAATAATAGTTACCATTCCTCCATACAAATGGCACCGTATGAAGCACTATATGGACATAAGTGTCGCTCACCGATCTTTTGGGATGAAATCGGCAAAAGAAAGATCTTGGATTCGACTACGGTGCCATGGATAGAAGAAGCAGTAGAGAAAGTTAAAATTATTTGCCAGAGAATGCAGACGGCTCAGAGTTGGCAGAAGAGTTACGCCGATCACCGAAGAAAGGATCTGGAGTTCAAAGAGGGGGACATGGTATTTCTCAAGGTAACACCACTCCGAGGAACGATTGCGGCCAAGAAAGGGAAGAAGTTGAAGCCTCGATATATAGGGCCATATAGGATTCAAAGCCGAGTCGGGACGGTGGCGTATCAGTTAGAGTTACCTATTAAAATGTCCCGAATTCACAATGTCTTCCACGTCTCGTTATTGAAGAAGTATCATCCAGATCCCGCACACATTCTACACACAGAGGACGTCGAGTTAGACGAAACCCTCACATATGGAGAGCAGCCGGTACAAATTTTAGATCGAAAGGTGAAAGAACTAAGAAATAAACAGATATCTTTGGTAAAGATTTTATGGAGAAATTATGGTGTGGAGGAAGCCACTTGGGAAGTGGAGGAAGACATGCAGAAGGAATATCCTTCTTTGTTCACAAACAAAGGTATTAATTTCGGGGACGAAATTGCTCTGAGAAGGGGAGGTTGTGAGATCCCGATTAGCCTCTGATTTCAATATCACGTGATATTAAGGGCATTTTATTCTATTTTGCACGAATTTACTAGAAAACTCTAGTTTCTTTTTGTATTGTGATAACTCAAAAAAATTAATTAATTATATGTATGTTATGAATCCTTTTATTTTAATTGCTTAGATGTTAGAAAATTACATATAACAAATGAATGGTTAAAATAAATGCATAATTGAATTTCTATAACAGATTGAAAATTTAAACGCCACTTGAGTTATGCAAAATTCTAGCTACAAATTCACTCCTACTACCCGAGGTTTAGGTCCCAATTTGGTGCTCATTCACCTAGCAAAATATGCTAGAAAACTTGTGTGGAGCAAAGATGAAAACCGTTTAAGATTCAAGGACCAAACGATGAATACCGAAATTGCACTTCAGTCCTTTACTATATTTAGCCAAAAACAAAAACAAAAAAAAAACACTTACTCTGATTCTGGTCAGCTTGGCCGAGAATACCAAGGCTAGAAAGCCTTGAATCTTCATGATTTTTGCCCAGCCAAAGCATGGCAAAGTGGGTGGGAACACTTGTCAATTTTCCAAGCCATTGAGTTGGCAAAACTCCAATCCTTGTCATGCTAGCTTAGGCTACTATAAATACCAGACATCCAGGCGTAGTAAACACTTTGGCAATCTTCTCATCTTCACCGAAACTAGCAAGAAACTATCAACTCACTTACTACAAAAATTGCACACAAAGCTGGCCAAAACCAATTCGGTTGACAGCTGGATTTTTGCTGCACATCTGGTGGAATTTTTCTTGCACTTTACTGCCTTTTTTTAAGGTACCATGAGCTATACACCTATTTCATTTATAATTCATTTACGCATCTTATATATCTAGGAAATCAAGTACCCCTGCTGAAAAACAAAAAAAGAAATCCTATTATAAACATGCATATGAGCAGTTCGTGATTTTCCAACTTTGTAGTTCAATTTCTATGCCAATTTTATGATGATTCTTGCCTAAATTTTGGCTATATATGTTTGCTATGCATGCTGGATACTAGGTGTAATTTTCTGATTGATAAGCTCTTGAGCAACCAAGACTAATTTGGGAATAAAAAAAAAATGGAACCATATGCCACAAACTCAGTTTCTTCGGATGAAACAGTGCCTGAAATCAGTTTTGGTAAAGTAACTATATCTTGGGCTAAAAAACTCGAATTGGGATGCCGTTTGTAGTGTTAGAAACTAGCTTCACAGAACTATCTCTGGTATAAAAATCAGTTCCAAATTCATTCCCTATAAATACCAGTAAATCGGCAAAGTTTGCTGTTTTTTTTTTCTCGGAACCTGTTTTGCTGGACCATTTGAGCAGCCTGTTTGCAACGAATTTTGACCCAACTCTGATCAGAATTTGAACCTGAGCCCTTCAGAGAAATTGTAGCTTCTTAAGTGCTTGTTGTGCCTACAAAATTTCAGGTCAAACGGAGGTGTGTAGGCTGAGTTATAGCCGAAACCCTCACTTAGCTTACAAATTCTGGTTTGACCACGTTTTGTAGATTAGCTTCTGACCATGCTCAGTTCGCATGGATAATGATGCGTTCGCATGGATAATGATGCAACTGGGTGGTGGTGTCTTCATAAGAACTGTGGAGCTCTGTTTCAGATTCAAAACGGTATAAAGTGCTTCCAAATCCGAGTTTCGTAGCTCCAGTTAGAGCCAAAATAAGATCGTGTCAGAACTGCCTGGAACACTTGGCAGTTCTGACAGGTACTTTGACACTCACTTTTCGTTTGGTTCTGAGTTGATCCAAGTCTTGGCCAAAACATAAAAGTTTTAGCCTTATGTCTTAGCCTTCCAATGCCTTTGGAATTTCTTGATTTGGGTCTGTGAGTTGTGAGTTATATTCTTCCACTAGACCCTGTCTGTCATCTAAACGTGCGAACTCCTGGCACATTGTTTCATACTTATGACCTGATTCCGTTCAGAACTGGATTGAAGTGTCTTCATGAAAGTTATAGCTTTTCTCCTTAACTTCGCGACGGTATCTCATACGCCTCGATCTGACAATCGTAACCTACATTGTGTTCAAAACAGTTCTTGACGCCAAAACGGACAAGTTTCCGTTTCCATTTCCATTTCCGTTTCCGTTTTCCATTTCCGCGCGCGTATGGGTCGCATTTGCTGTTTTCCTTATTCGTATGCATTTGGATACCTGTTTGAGCAATGTTATGACTCAACC